CTCCCTCCCTCCCCCTCCCTCCCTCCCTCCCTCCCTCCTTCCTTCCTTCCTTCCTTCCTTCCTTCCTTCCTTCCTTCCTTCCTTCCTTCCTTCCTTCCTTCCTTCCTTCCTTCCTTCCTTCCTTCCTTCCTTCCTTGACTTCCTTCCTTGACTTCCTTCCTTGACTTTCTTCCTTGATTTTCTTTGTTTCTTTCTTTCTTTAATCCGTTCTTCCTTTCTTTTCTTCCTTTCTTCCTTCTTTCCTTCCTTCTTTCCTTCCTTCCTTCCTTCCTTGCTCCGTCCGTCCGTCCTTTCTTCCTTCCTTCCTCGGCGTTCTTGCTTAACTTGCTTTCTTTTGTTTCTTTCTTTAATCCGTTCTTCCTTCTTTTTTCTTGTTTTTATTTTATTTTTTATTTTTTCTTTCTGTCTCCTTTCATTTCTTTTTCTATATCGATCTCTATAAATCTAATCCTCGATGTATGTCTCGAGATGTCTCTTTATCTCTCTATCTAGCCATCAGCGTATCTATCTACTTATCTCTCTTTCCTTTATTGGTTTCTTTATCCGCCTATCCATCTATTTTTATCACGGCCGTGGTCTGTCTTTCTATCTATCTTTCTCTCTTTATCTTTCTATCCATGCCTCTATCTATTTTCTCTACATTTCTTTATCTATCCATGCATCTATATGCCTATCTATTTCTCAACCTCTCTCTCTCTCTCTCTTTCTCTCTATATGGCTAGCTATCTATCCAGCAATCTTTCTATCTTTCTAGCCAGATAGCTGCTTATTTTCCCGTTCTATGTATTTCTTTTTCAGCAATCTTTCTTTGTCTTTTCTTCAATATATTTGTCGGGCTTGTGAAGATGCTGCGGCCACACAGTCTCTACCTGACCTTGCGAAAGTGCTGCGCCTGCCACGAAACCTGTACTATCTGACAGAGAGATAGCTTTAAGATGCACGGAGCCGAAAACTTGCACGTGTCTGAGCTTGAGCTGCCAAAGAGCTCAACCGCTGCCCTGGTTGGAGAGCCGGTTGTGCGCATATTATTCGTACCGAAAAGCGTCCCGCGCAATGTGCTAGTTGCTGAACAGTTTCGATGTTCAGGCTCGAACTTTCAAAGTGTACTTTACATATTGATGACGCAGGCCGGGTACGCGAAGCAGCACAAAACAATGTAAAGCAGTGGAAATTAACCATAAGAAACAGGTGTTGTGCAATCGCAAGGGGGTCCGAGGATGCAACATACCTGTTTTTTCAAGTTGTATTTTATGGTTTTTAGTTCTTTTATGTCGTGACAGCTTTCCAACATTTGAGTCCTGCGGGGGCAAGACTTCTGTTTTTAGGCCTCCCCCCACCCTCAATAAGCCAAAAGGAGCCCAACCACGCTTGCAGACATCCCTTCCAGGAGATTTCCCCTTTTGGGTGAGCCCTGAAATAGTTTCTCCAAGAAAATGCTAGTTTCCTTTTGTTTCTCTTTACATCCAACCAAAAGGGGCTTCCCAAAAAGACACCTCAAGTTGCATTGTACAAACTGATTTCGATTTGTGTCGCTGGGCTCACCGAACGCTTGTTTTTCCATCTTAGAGGCTGCGCTGATCTTCCTGATGAGAACCTCCCGGGTCAAACTGTCAACCAGCCAAGCAAGGTCTGAGCGCCACCAATCCTGATGCTGAGAAGGTGGAACATGGCCCCGCAACAAGAACATGCCCTTTTTTAACACCCTTTCCCTGGGAGGAGGGGGTGAAGGATGGGGAGCGGAGGGGCACGGGGAGCATTGTGGCAGGCAAACAAGTGTAAACCATGCAAACAGTGTGTAAACAATGCACAAACAACGCGTAAACAAGTGTACACAAAGTGTAAACAGTGTAAGCAATTGCAAACGAAGTGTAAGCAAGTGTAGGAACAGTGTAACCAAAGTGTTGAAAAGTGTGAACCACATCGAGTTGATCGCGTGTGTTTGAAAGCTTCTGTGTCTCTGGGCCGCGCCCCCCTCCCGGCTCTGGGCATCCCAGACACTAGCTGCGGCGCCCGCGCTTTCTAACGCTACGCGCAAGCTTGCGTCCCGTGTCTGGACCGAGAAATGGAACTCCGTTCCGCACACTCGCAGGCCTTTTCCATTTCCCCATTTTGTTTCCCTGAAGCAACCTTTTCCAATGCTTGCTCATTTCGGCTGTGGCAAAGAGCACAACCTTTCAAGCTCTGCTAGCCTACAGGCGCAAGATTCCCAGAACCCCAAACACATGCAAATTAAGAGCCATGAGTGCTGATCATGTTCAAACCATTAGATTAAGTAAGAAACACGTCGAAGCAGGCAATATTTTCACATGTTGTCCATCCTAAAGGCTTAGCAGAACTTGGTGGGCGAAGCGTGATGCCACGTGGACTGCCATAGGCCTGGCAATCTGTTGCTTTAATTGAACTAAGTAAGCAGCCGAGCGTGCAGAAACCTTCGTTTTGAGTATGTAGTTGTTTGGCGAGGAACTTGGGATATGCTGGCTCCAGAACATCTTCTTTGCTTAAGCTGGATGCAGTGACGCGCGGGGAAGCAAAAGAGCTGCGGCTTCGTAGCATGTGTGCCTTTTTTGTAATTTTGGAGGACTTCCAAGCGGGATCTATGAATCCGAGGTGGACATTGCATTCGTTCACCGCAGTCCTCGGCTGACGCTCAGGCGCCCTGGCTGGATGGCTGGCAGGCCTCCCATTTCGCGCTCAGTGTAGCGGAGCTGAGAGGACCAGGCGCGGGTTGTCGTTGAGCAAACGGAACCCTGAGCGAAGAGCTTGTAATCAACATGAAATGGAACCAGCTACCGGAATTCCACTACTGAAAAGATTGGCGCAAATTTCTTAGCTAAATTTAAGAGTCATGCCCTGGAGGCCCTTGCAAACGCTGGGACGGTGATCAATTTTGGTGGTACGGTACAAGGGTACGACTGGTACGATACAAGGGTACGCCTGGTACGGTACAATGACTGCTACAGTACAAAGGTACGACTGGTGCGGTGCAAGAGTACGACTGGTACGGTACAAGGGTACGACTGGTACGACTGGTCGATGCAAGGGTGCGACTGATACGGTGCAAGGGTACGACTGGCGCGGTACAAGGGTGCGACTGGTACGGTACAGGGGTACGACTGGTACGGTGTAGGCACGACTGGTAGTGCAAGGGTACGACTGGTACGGTACAAGGTACGACTGGTACCGCGCAAGGGTACGACGGGACAGCGCAAGGGTGTCGACTGCCACGGTGCAATCATACGATTGGAACAGCGCAAGAGAACCTTAGTCGAGTTGCTTCGTGTTTACCGGAATTGGCTGTTGCTTGCTGCACTGTCCAGTGTGTTTGCGTGTGTGTGTGTGCGTTTAAGCCTGGCGGCGGAGCGTTTCTGACACTGTTTGCCCAATAACGGCAGCTTGTTGTTTGGGGTACGAAACGCGTGCGCCTTATTTAGCAAGCGCACCGTGCCAATTGCATTCATGGACTGCAGGAGCTGCGCCTTTAAAGCACAATGCCAAGCGTATCCTTGTCCCACATCACCCCCTGGCGCAAGTCGAGCTCTTCTACCCTCTCACCGTGGCTTCTGTGCTTGCCCCACCCCACTGCATACCTCAAATACACGTGCAGCACCTTGGTCATGTGTAACAACCCCTCACAAGGTAAGCCGCGTCTGGGAAGTCTAACGCAAAGTCTGGAGCCCAGGGTCTCAGAACTAGAAAGTCTAGAGAAAGGCTTACGAACGCAGAAGAGATGATGTCAGACAAGGCAACACAGACGCTTAACAAAGAACACAAGGAAACGCACACAGACCTACCATATCCTAAAGCGGCACACATTTACAATTACGATGATGACACAAAGATTCTAGGCAGGTGCTTCAAGTCGCTTTTAACTGCAAACTGATGAACAGGGCAGAAGCAGAAGCATTAGCGTTTACATATGACCCTGATTTGTATGATGATGACGACGGTGAGGACAAAACGTGATGACACTGATAAATACATGAGGCCAGGCCCCAGTGTGGCGCAAAAAGTAGCACATTTAACATAACACACTACATTGGCACAAATCAAATTTCTAAGTTATTAGTTAGTTCAACAATGAACTCATTAGTAACATTCTACGGCATAGCAAGTGCTACAACGAATTGGTTGAGTGCAATGGTTAGTCAAGAAGTTGAGTTTAACACTTCGTGTCCTGTTCGTGCTCATAGTTCTCCGCCTATCAAGTCCTTAAACGCTGAAAGTGGAACTGATGAAACTGAAACCAAAATACCAACCCTACACAAATTTAAAAGACTTAAAGAAATGACCCCGGAATATAACAAGAAAAAATGAATAAGCGTATTGGAGAAGAAATGACAACATAAATTGTCAAATTCGTAAGCTGTTATCGGCTGTTATTAAAAGTAAAAATGTTCAAGAAATTGTTCAGAAATCTCGAGAAGGCTTAAAGCAAATACCCCTTAATATAATAAGAACAAATGACCGATGGAATGGAGACAATGCCCCAAATGCAAAATCCATAGGGCAATCGGTAAGTTTGAAGAAGGACGGAAGAATTGCAAAAACAAAAAAGAACCAAGGCGAAGATATAGAGAAAACACATAATGGTATGGCAAGTCGATACATAAAGGAATGCTACAAAGAAAACAAAACCGAATGGTTCAACAAGTCCAAGCAAAAGCGAGAAGAAGAATATGTAGACTGTTACTATCAGACTGGTTACAGCTAATATCAACTATGGACAGAATATATAGTAAAACTGACACAGAGTAACAACTATCTATCATATTATTAGCTGATAGTATGACTGAGAAGAACCACAGTCCTAACAAAGCTATTTCTGTTGAGTTTGTCAATTGTTACAGTACTGTCTTTGGAATGAACAAATGCTGAAATGAATGAGGTTGTGAAAGACATTTTCCCTGAAATCCTGAGTTTGTTTTCAATGAACAAGGCAATGTTGCTGACCTCGTTGAGTTCTGGTTGAAAATGAACAAGGCGGTCACTAGGCGCCTTGTTGAAATTGGAAAACTTGCATAAAACTACAAAGGTTTCCCCAGGAAGTTTCCCAGAACCAATACGTGAGTAATGAACAAAATGTTAGAATGGTCTACTTTTTGACATTGACCCTGAAACCTGAAGCCTGAAAATCCCCTACCCTAGAACCAACTTTTTACCGAAAGCTTTTGGAGGACCGCCCGGATTCATCTGGAGCCGTTTGGGTTATTTTCAATAATTTCATTTGTCTGGGCAATTGCAGGGGTGGACATGTTGTGCACCCCTGCAACATACCAGCCATGATGTGGCCATGGTCTGGAGTGGGAGTGTCGCGCATCCCAACCACACGTCGCATTTCTTGAGCAGTCTGAGGACATGTAGCCCATCCGGTGTCAGGGACATACTCACCGAGGTGCAGTAACGCTTGTTGAGAGATTCTGCTTAGACATGGCTACGCCTTCAGCGCCTGATCAGCCAGTGGAGAAGGGAAGGTGGCTGCTGCGCGTTGTCCTCTTCTTGAACGTGAGCCTTTCCCCGCCTGAGCAGCCACTCGTGTCCTACCACAAGATCATGTGCCACACCTTGGATTCGGTGAAAATTGAGGGTTGTGCCCGTGACTTTGGCTCATCTGTCAGCAGCCCGAACAACGTCACCTGTCGGCTCGGCCGAAAGATGACGGCTGAGTCGTCCGGCGTTCTGGATTGCGAAGGACCAGCAGCTGCTGGACGAGGTCTTCCGAAGCGGGCATGAATCTTGCAGATACTACACGTTCCTGCGGGTCAAAGGAGACTGCTGTTGCCTGGCTTCTTTGATGGGCAGAGACAGCCCTGCGATTTGAGGACTCAGCAGGTCACATCGCCTTCCAGCCCTCAAGGGCCGCGGCGCGCAGCATGCAAGAGAGGCAAGCTTTGGGGGTTAAGCTGCTTAATCCGCCGGGTTCTGTTGTGCAAGCTGACGCGCTTCGTTGTGACAGCTTTGTGGATATGTTTTCTCTATGGTTGCTTGGAACTGTGTGTTGTATGCGCTTGCCTTGAGCGGCCATTGTGGCTGAGCACTGTGGGCCGCGCCAGCCTCTGCTAGCTCCTGCAAGGGCGGCTATCGGGGGGACTGGGCGCCTTAACTAGGCGAAGCTCGGTGACGCTTGGGCAAGGCCCGCGGGCACCCAGCGTTGACTTGGCACACAGGCGGCGAGCAGGACTTGGTAGGAGATGACCGGTTGTGGCCCTGCCGCAGAGCCACTGGCGTCAAGTGAAGCTACCCCATTTTTTCGTCGTAGTTTTCACGACGCTGTCCCTGTGCAGATGCTTGCTGACAATGGCTGCCTCGCGATCCTCGCGAAGGTGTAGCTCGTCGGGCTCGACGAGCTCAGCCGGCGAGACGAAGTCTGAGGTGCTTCCCGCCAGCGGCAGCGCGCCAGGCACGGAAGCTGTTGATGGTTGTCCCGCATGTCCTTGCGCAAGTTGCGGGTTGCTGCGTCTCACGGACTTTGACGGGACGGAGACTTGTTTTTTCCGTGGAACCAAAGGACAGAAGGCACGTTTTGTACCTCGGCCCACGCCAGGGGGAAGTCTATCAGGATCAAGCGACCTGACCACGAGGAGGATGAATATTTAGCCCCGCGCCGAAATTAGGGCCGATTTCCAACACTCAAATTTTCCTCGGGTTTCGCCTAGGGCCAGGCGGGCAGTACTGTGCTTAGCATGCAGGCCTCAACGGTCCTGGCCGAACTTGATTTTTGGCAACGCGGAACATGTGGAAACCTGCTGAGCACGCAGGGCTCAACACTCTGGCAGGGTTTTCGGTGAACAAGAGGGAAACAAGCGTTTGCGTGGTTGGGAAATCATGAAAACACGTGGAAAATCCATGTTTTTAGTGAACGCAGAACATGTGGACACCTGCTTAACAGTCAGCCTTCACTGGTCTCCTGCCAAATGGCCTTGGGAGATCCCGGCGCTGTCAGGCGTTAGCCGGCTACGCCTCTTTGAAGTTATGCCATGTCATGTCATGTTTTTTGTATGAGAAACGTATCCTGCGCTATGATATGGCTGGTTAGGTTATGCATGTTGCCCACCCCAACCCCAGATGATCAGATGATGCCGGGGATGCCAGCTTTCTGGGCCCTAGCCGGGACCCAAACCAGAAGGCTGACATGGGGTCGCGCGCGCGCGCCAGAGGCCGCAGACTCTGGCGCAGAAACAGCAGCCCAAAAAGAACAGCCCGCAAGCCAGCCCGGAAACGCAAAAGCAACAAAACACCGTAAATAGCAGCGTTTTGTGGCTGGGGTCGCGCGCGCCAGAAGGCCCGAAAACCAACCCGAAAAAAGCAAAGACCGCGCAGCAGCCACAGCAAAAGCAAAACGGACAGAACAACAGCCCACCGCTCAGCGCAGCAGTTTTTGACGGTATTTACAGCGTCTTGTAGAGCGAGGGCCCAGCATCGCCGGCATGCCCGGCAGCTTGGCGCCAAAATGCGCGAAAATGAGCCTCGCTTATATCCCTCCGACACCTTCTAAAAAACAGTGCTTTTTGGGTTGAGAGGCTTTTTGGAAGGAAGTCTGACCAAGCCCCGCTGAAGCATCAACCAGGCCCAACCCCAGACCCTGATGATGTCAGCCACATGGCCTAAACCCTGCGCACACGCGATGTTTTGCGCGTTTCCCACAGGCAAGCAAAACCGCAAGCCCGAGCTGGTGATGCAGAGGTGCCGGGTCACGACCAAGTGACGAGGGTCGGCGGCACCAGGGCGCCGCCCCTATAGCTGAAGCTAGCAGGCTAATTGCCTAGCGGCGACATGCTACCCCAGGAGGCGTAGCCGGATTTAAGGGCTTACGCCTGACAGCCGGGCGCCACGAAAAGCATCAGTTCTCCACGTGTTGTCATGCTTTTCGCAACCACGCGACGCGGCCTTGAACCCATACAAAACCAGCAAAAACACTTGGTTTTTCTACTTGTTCACCAAAAACGCTGCCAGAAATCGGGCTCGGCCGGGGAGAGCTGAGCCCTGCCTGCTAAGCAGGTTTCCACATTTTCCACGTTTGCGCCTGGCCTTGAATCCATACAAAACTATCGAAAACAGTGTTTTTGTGTGGTTCACCGAAAATCCTGCAAAAAATCGAGTTCGGCCGGGACCGTTGAGGCCTGCCTGCTAAGCAGGCTTCCATATTTTCCACGTTTGCGCCCGCCAGAAACTTTCAAAAACACTGTGTTTTTGCACGTTTTCGGCAAAACTGGCCCGACGTAGGGGACAACATCCCCAGCATCCCCCGCATCACCGGCATTATCCCCAGCATCCCCCGCATCACCGGCATTGTCCGCATCAATGTCCGCCATGGATGCGGACGATGCAGGTGAGATGCTCAACAAGTCGTCAAAAATCGCCTGAACAAATCCACAAATTCCACAAATCCTTCGCCCCTTAGCAGTGAAGGCGCAGCCTCCGTTCGACACGGAGTGAACCGGAATCGACCGGGAGTGAACCGGAATCGACCGGGAGTGAACCGGGAGTGAAACGGAATCGACCGGGGGGGGTCGGCGCCAGGGGGCGCGAGCCTTATAACCTTCGGTTAAGGGAACCGAACCTCCGGGGAAACCAAAAAATCCCGCACCTCGACCACGCCGATCCTCGCAGAGGGTCGCAATCCGGATCGACGATCAAAGTCCTGCCCTGGCGCCCTAGAAACCTAAACGTCACTTGCATAGCTGCTAACGCCGAAGCGCTATGCACTTGGCTTTATGCGCTTGGCTCTATGCACTTGGCTCTATGCACTTGGCTCTATGCACTCGGCTCTATGCGCTCGGCTCTGTGCACTTGGCTCTTTGCACTTGGCTCTATGCACTTGGCTCCATGCACTTGGCTCTATGCACTTGGCTCTTTGCACTTGGCTCTATGCGCTTGGCTCTCTGCACTTGGCTCTATGCACTTGGCTCCATGCACTTGGCTCTATGCACTCGGCTCTATGCACTCGGCTCTGTGCACTTGGCTCTATGCACTTGGCTCTATTTGCACTTGGCTCTCTGCACTTGGCTCTATGCACTCGGCTCTATGCGCTCGGCTCTGTGCGCTCGGCTCTACGCACTTGGCTCCACGCACTTGGCTCTACGTTTTTGACTCTGCGCAAGTGAGTCTGTGCAAGTTGGTCCGAGAGCTCCGCGCGGAAGAGCCCTTCGCGATGCTTTCGGGAAAAAGATTTGGAAAAGCCTTGAAAAGGGTTTTGTCTTTTTCCAATGTTGTCTGCCCATGAGCGGTTGGTACAGGAGAGACACCTGCCGGACCGTGGCCATCGATCCTCGTTGATGGCCCTCCTGGCACCGAACCTGCGATGGATTGTGAAGTGCCAGCCGCGCCTAGATGAACAATTCAAGTTATAGCGCAGACATCGTGTCGATGCCCGACAGTCCTTTTTCGGCGGTGGCACGTCTCTTTTGCCCCCCTTTTCAAACCAGACATTGACGGTTTTTTCGTGCCGGGAAGCAAAACATTCGAGATGGTTAAAAATAAACTTGAGTTCAAGGCGCGCCTTGACAAGGAAGAGCATAAGCAGCACCCTGTACACAGTGATAAGCTCAAGTTCGAGCAGAAAGAGGAAAGAAAGGAACGCCGCTTCGCGGGATCTGGTAAGCCCAAATCCATCGCGTCTGCAGATTTGGAGAGGTATAACGCGGAGGATATACATTGACGTTGAAAGAAGCCGGACCTGGAAAGAGAATACACAGCCACAAAAGCAAAGGGATTAGGTTTCCGGGGGCGGACGCACGCCGGTGCCAAATCAACCAAAGAGGCAATCGCGAAAGCAAAGAAACAAAGTTTCAAGTCTGCAAAAAGAAAATAGTTAAGACCAGGGAATTCAGAATCATGCCATGCTAGCAAACATTGGGATTTAATGCCGAATTATGCTTAGATGATTTTACCTACATTGTTGCTCTCGGTTTGCGTTGTTCGCGTGTGCTTTTTGATGTTGCGGCTCTGCTCTCATTGCTGGCATGCTGGGAGATCAACATCTTGTCTGTGACCCGCCCGCTGAGGATGAACAACATTTTTCAGTACCGTGTAGGTGCAAGGCCGTGATTTTAGGCTTGAGCTTCTGTCAGGAGCCGCCTACGATCGCCTTAGCTCGGTGCCTGAGTTGCCGCCGTGATCTCCCAGGGAATTACTTTTTTCCCCTACTTGCAAGGCGAACTGCGACGGCCAAACAAGGCACGCGTAGGTGTTTCACGTGGGGTGACTGTTACCAGTAGGGCCGGCGAAGCTGGAGGGCGGAAGTTTCAAACATTTAAACACTATGTTTTCTCTTTCTTCTTCCTTTTCATTGTTGCCTCTTTTCTTCATCAGTCTTTCTTTCTCCCTTCATTTCTTTTCTTCCTCCCTTCTTTCATTAATTCGTTATATCATTATTCCTTTTGTTCTCTCCTTCTTTGTTTTCTTTCATTGTTCTCTTTCTTTGTTCTGTTTCTTTGTTCTCTTTCTCTCTTTCTTTCCCTTTTCTTTCTTTCTGTCTTGACAAAACCCATGAGTGGCCTCACAACGAAAAATACCAACTAGGCACATGACACATGACCTCTAGCGCAAGGCATCATCTGGGACTAGTGATTTATGGTGCCCAAGTTTCACTGCTATCAGCCACTCGCTACCCGCTCTCTCTTTTTTTCGCGAGCGCCGCGCAGCGCTCCACATCCGCGGCCTGAGCCGGCGCGCGACAGCATCTTGTCTCCATCAAGCGTTGCAGCTCGAGGATGCCAGAGCTTGCTTGACCCCTTTTGCACTTTGACAGCGGTGTCATAGTCATGATGTCGCTGGCTGGTCGGGGGTTCGCCTGTGCCCGTCAGATTGGGGTCGCTTGTGCCCGTAACAGGGGGTAATAGCGCCGCCCAAGGAGCCGAGAATGCAAGCACTGCCGTCATCGTCAAAGTGCACGTGGAGCTTTGCAATCACGCCCAGAAGCGCGCCAGAGCACAGCCTCGCCACAGGCAAACTTTCTTTGATGCTGAGAACCCGCGTCAGCCGAGCTCGCGGCGACTGCTCGGGCTCTGCGTCTGTCACGAGCGCTAAAAAATTGAGCACTGCAGCTGCAAGCCGCCAGCTGTCTGGGCTTGGCTCCGACGCAGACCAAAGGCTTCGGCGAGCCCGCGAAGCTCAAAGGCTGTTCTTTGCACGTGCGCAACTTGCAAATAGTTGCGCGCTGGGCGGCGCACGTCTGCGTTGCTAGAGCACGCCTCTTCGTACGCAATTGTGAATCGCAAGCGCCACTTTCGCTGTCGCACTTGTCTGCTTGGAACGGACGCGCCCGGCTGAACCGCAAAGGCAGCTCCCAAGAGATCGTCCGCACAGCGAGTGAATATCTTCATGTCTGTTGTTGCCGTGTGATCCCACGCAGCGAGCTCCATGCTGTAACTAGCTCGCTGAGGATCTTGTGTGTGTGCTGGTCACTTTTTGTGGGGATAGAGCAGCCCATGTAGTGCCAATCATCTGTGCTTGCGCGGGTTGGACTTGTGACATTGCGATAGTGCAAAATGGAGCCTCCCACACATCTTCGCTCGGAAATTCGCGCAAGCCATCACGAATGCCGAGCAAGTTGCGAGCGGCACGAGCGTCGCGCGGCAAGACACGAAGTCTCTGTTGCTGGATGTGTAGCTCGACAGGGAGCGGCAGTGGTCTCTGCCGGCCAAGCTGGCTGTCATTTCTGCGCGGCAGCTCTCAGGCGCATCTTAGCCATCTTAAGCTGAAGCCGCTTTTCGTTGTGAGAGATGCCCAAATTGCAGAGGTCGATGGCGACATGTGTGGGCACACATCGCGCGGCCCCAGGCGAGCGCGTCAGCGGCTGAGGTTTCTCCAGCAGCTTTGCTTGGCTGGTGCACCGCCAGCTTGTGGAAGCCCTCCTTCTGTGCGAGACGAAGAATCCACGACTGTTCAAGCCGCAAGATCCACGTAGCCAGTGCCAGTGAGCGCGCCAGGCTGCAGCGCTAAGGAGCCACCATCGTCTGCAGCGATCCAATCCCTTTCCAGCTGCCGCCAAGAGGCACGCGCTGCTGGCGAGCCGGATCTTTCGGGCACCGCCAAAACGAGGAGCGTCTTCGTGTCTCCCACAAGCGCTGGCATCTGACGCACGTACTGCGTGCCGTTCTGGAACAAGTTGCCCACGTGCCCGCGCAGCTCACACTGCCCTGTGGTACGGAGCGTGAAATTGCGCATGGGCGACTGGCAGCTCCTCCTTAAAAAGCGCCAGCGCGATTGTCTCTAGCAGAGACACGTCGGGTCGGCGTAGTTCGCCGCTGTGAAGCGGAATGGATAGCCAGGCAGTCCATCCTTGGCTCGTGCCTTTGCTTCTGCCAAGCAGTTGCGGCAGATCGCTTGACAAGGCTCCAGCGACTTCGTCACTGGAGCAAGCAGTCTTGAAGACGCCGCTCTTGAACCTACCCGGCGTGTCGTCCCTCGTGCCTGCGTGCCGAACCAGCCTTCCTTGCAGCACGCGCGTGCGGCAAACTCCCGCGCGCGGTGAATCAATGCGCGTCCGCGCCTCGGCGTCCGCGCTGCTGCCGTAGAGCTGGCGCAGGCTCTTGGGAAGCCGCTTGACAACACAAGTGTCGCTGCCACGCACAGCAGCCTGAGAAGCTTCAGACAGTTGCGTCTGCGCGTGCTTTCTTGTTGTCTATTCAAACTGCAGCCTTTTGTCCAGCGCTAAAAAACATACTTGCAGGAACCCGTGCGAACTCATCGAAAGATGATGGACAAATGCTGGAAAATAATGAAAATATGAAAAATGATGGTTTTTCAGGACCAAGTTACAAATCCTTGGGGAAATTCTGAGAAATTGGGAAAATTCTGGAAGCTCGTCTTCTGCTGCATTAATTTCCCATCATTTTGCAAGGGTTCTCGTCATTTGTTCATCGCTCTTTTTCGTGATTTGTAGGTTGTGTTTTCTTGTTCTCTGTTCAACAAGCAGCATCTTTTCTAAGGCTACCCTACATTTTTGCAATCCGTGCGAACTGCTCAAAAAAAGATGGGCACATAGTGGGAAATCGCTTTTTGTTTCTTGACAAAGTTACCAACCCTTATGAAATTCTGAAAACGCAAATCACCATTGCTTCATGACTTTCATGATTGTTTCATCGCCGTCGTAAAAGATAGGCAAACGATGAAAAATGATGATTTTCCGGACACAGTTGCAAATACACCTTTGCGATTTAAAACTAAAGTAAATGCTAGCAAACCACCTTACTTCATGCTGTTTTCATCATTTTTCATCACTTCGCAAGGCACCATTGTTCTGGGAAGTCCTTGTTTTTCGTGGTTTGTAGGCTGCATTTTCTTGCTTTCTGTTCAATTTTCCAACGCTACTATACATGTTTGCAGAAACCTGTGCAAATTGATTGCGAAGTTATGAACAAATGATGAAAATGATGGTTTTCAGAACAAAGTTTGAAGTAATTGTTAAAACTAATGTCGATCTTGGCAGCGCGCGCTAAACTTGATCTGCCTCCAAACATGGCTTGCGCAGCGCGGCAACTCAAGCAGCTTGCCCAGCTGGTGCTGGATGCCCGGCTGAGCCGCCCAGTGATCCGCGTCTGCAGGCTCGCGCAGCGCAGCTTCTCGCGCGCGCAGTGAGCGCATGCCCCTGTCGCTGCAGATATCGATGCCATGCTGCTATTTCTGGCTGCGCCTGACGTCCTTGCTGTGGCTCGCCGGTTCGCAGCATCTGCTGCAAGTTGCTGCGTCGTAGCGCTCCGCAAAGCGTGGGTCACTGGCCATGGCGCGCTAGAGTTAGCCAGCTGAACCGCCAAACCAGCCCCTGCACGCTCTGCTGCGATGTTCTTTTGGGGTCAACATTGCTCTGTCATGTCCCTGAAGGGAGGTAATAGCCCAATCAGGCACAAGATGTGAAGCTCTGTGCACTCGGCTCTATGCGCTTGGCTGTATGCACTCGGCTCTATGCACTCGGCTCTGTGCACTCGGCTGTATGCGCTTGGCTCTATGCACTCGGCTCTATGCACTCGGCTCTGTGCACTCGGCTCTATGCGCTTGGCTCTATGCACTCGGCTCTATGGTACAACCGAAACATCTCAGTCTTGGCCTGTCTCTCTGCGCGCGCGCATTGGTGCTGTTGGTGCTGTTGGTGCTGTTGGTGCTGTTGTTGCTGTTGTTGTTGTTGCTGCTGCTGCTGTTGTCTTGCGGTTGATGGCCGCGGTTGCTTTTGTGTTGGTGGTTATTGTTGCTGTGGCGGAGGTGGTTGTAGTCACTTTGCTCAAGCTAGAAAAGCTGCAGCAACGGTATCGACAGCAGCCTATCTGAACAACGAGCCAGCCTCGGTGCACCTCATGCCAACGCAGCCTCGATGTACCTTAGGTAAACGCTGCCCAAAAGCCAACGCCCTCATCGCGGCCTGACCCAGCATGCGTTTGCCGACGCAAGCCGCAAGCCACCGCCGTGCGACCTAAAGAAGTAACACCTTGACATGTCGCGTGCTGCATCTATCTATTCATCTATCTATCGATCTCTTAAGCCATCTGCCTGTCTGTCTGTTTATCTGTCTATGTATCTATCTATCTATCTACCTATCTATCTATCTCTTCTCTCTTTCTATCTATCTACCGATCTGTTTATCTACCTATGTATATATTTGTTTATCTACTTAAAATTTATAATTGTTGCTATCTGTTTGTTTATCTATCTATCCATCAGTTTATTTGTTTAGCTTTCAATCTATTTACCCCTGTCTTTGGCTCCCCCTCTCTCTCTCTTTCTCTCTTTCTCTCTGTCCCTTTAGCTGTGCCTGAACTTGCGAAAGTGCTGCCCCTGCCACGAAATCTGTACTCGACCTTGCGAAAGCGCTGCGCCTGCTGCGCGGCGGTTGCCACGATATCTGTACTTGACCTTGCGGAAGTGCTGCGCCCGCGAATTGTCTATTTCACCTTGCGAAAGTGCTGCGCCTGCCACGAAACCTGTACCTGACCTTTCGAAAGTGATGCGCCTGCCACGAAATCTTGACTTGGCCCCGCGAAAGTGGTGCGTCTGCCACGGAATCTGCTCTTGACCTCCCGAAAGTGATGCCCCTGCCACGAAATCTGCGCCCGACCTTGTTAAAATGTCGCGCCTGCCACGCAATTCAATCGCTCCAAGACCGCTCCGAGACCGCTCCAACCAGACGCCGCGAACAGGCCAGCTTTCACATCTCCGGAGACGCCAATTCACGCACAGGGCCACGCTTTTTGCATTTCGTTCTCCCCGCCACGCGCGCGCGCATTTTTCTCGCGGGCTTATTCCGTCTCTTGTCATCTGTCTCAGGGAGCTAGCTAGCTTTCAATTAGTTGCTGGAACACGGAAGTTCCTTCTAAACTTCCATTGATTATGACCAGCTCTACGGGGTTGACCTTAAACAGCTCGGCACGCCCATCAAGTGGTGAGCCGTTTGCGGAGCTTCGGGGGCTTGACACCTCAAGACTAACCTTTGTTGCGCGCGTTGCGATTGCTAAGCAGCTTGCTAGCTGACCAGCTAACTAGTTCTTGCGCTACTTAGCAAATTGCCGAAGGTGACTCAACTTGCTAGGCAGCGATGTTCCCACACTAGTTAACCCATACTAGTACCAATTAGCTGGCCGGCGAGCGCGAGAGAGCAGAATGGAACTGGCTCCTGGAAGACACCGTCCACGAGCCTGGGCCGTCGGAGCTGAGGATCAGCTCTGCTGGAGCGCTCACCAGCGCTAGTGCCAAGGGCGCAGGACTGAGCGCAAATGCGTGTTTCTCCAGCATGCCCCCCAGATGGCTGAGTTGCTACCCTTTGCGGGATTGCTGCAAGAGTGTTGTGATTTCTTCTTTTTGTCAGTTCAGTCACAAACAGACGGATACCGTTGGCTTCCGCTTGGTGATCGTTTACAGTAGACACCTAGAAAGTCCCAGAAGATTTAGATTATTGTCCCAGGCAGCCACCTAAACTTCGATTCATGTCCCAATAAAGCAGCAAATCACGTCAAAGCCTTCCTTTGCAAAACACCACTGAGCTTGTCATGAAAAGCTTTTCTCAGAAGTGGAAAAGGGCCCTTAAACACACAGGCTGCTTCTGCATTTTGCTTTGCACAGACAACTTAGACAACGCCATATATTCTGGCTAATGTGGGTGCCCCTCTTGTTGCACTGGGTTCTGTTTGACGGTAGGTAACTTGAAAGGCGTTACGTGGTTCGCCAAATGGTGCAGGCTTCAAGGCAAGATGGGATTTAATGGCCTGCGGCCTGGTTCCGCCGCCCCAAACACCTTAGAATTTCGGCCCGGCGCGAGAGAAAGCACGCGTGCGCAGGCGTAGACAGACAGACACAAAGAGACACAGACAGACACGCAGGGGGGGACGGTCTTCGCGGACACGAAGACAGACGCAGATCGTAGACAGACACAGCCAGACACAGCCAGACACAAAGAGACATTTGCGGAGACGAAGACAGACGCAGATACGTAGACAGACACAAAGAGACACAGACAGACACGCAGGGGTGGAGGGTCTTCGCGGACACGAAGACAGATGCAGATACGTAGACAGACACAGACAGACACAGACAGACACAAACAGATAGAGACAGACATGCAGGACACGGAGACAGACGCAGATACGTAGACAGAGACAGACAGACACCAAGAGACACAAAGAGACACAGACACGGGAGACAGACGCAGATACGCAGACAGACACAGACAGACACAGACAGACACAGACAGACACAAAGAGACACAAAGAGACACAGACAACAAACGCAGATACGTAGACAGACACAAAGAGACACAGAGACACGCAGGGGGGGGAGGGTCTTCGAGACATCCATGTTTCCAGAGATCCAGACATTCAGAGACCCAGAGATGCAGACATCCACACATCCAGAGACCCAGAGATGCAGAGAGCCACAAATCCAGCCGACGTATTTCCCGCCCCAAGGGACACACACACATATATATATATATATGGTACAGCGTTGCCAGCCCCCCCCCCCCCCCAATGGTCATGGGTCAGGCAAGTACCCCCCCCCCCTGTGGTTGTGGTCCTGTGGTTGGGTTGTGGTGGTTTAGGGTTGGTTTAGAATTGGTTTAGGGTATATTTAGGGTGTATTTAGGGTTAGTTTAGGGTTGGTTCAGGGTTGATTTAGGTTGATTTATGTTGATTTACGGTTGGTTTAGGTTCAGAGGTGTACGGTCGGTTTAGGGTTTGGTTTAGGGTGTATTTAGGGTTGGTTTAGGGTTAGTTTAGGGTTATTAGTTTAGGTTTAGGGTTTATTGTTTAGGGATTGGTTTAGGGTGTATTTGGGGTTAGTTTAGGGTTGGTTTAGGGTTAGTTTAGGGTTGGTTTATGTTGATTTAGGGCTGGTTTAGGTTTAGAGGTCTACGGTTTAGGGTTTGGTTTAGGGTGTATTTAGGGTTGGTTTAGGGTTAGTTTAGATGGTTGCGGGTTGGCTTGTCCTGGGGGTGGGGGTGCCGGGGTGTCGGGGTGCGAGTTCAGGGGGTCGGGGTGGGGGTGGGACCGTAGGTGCCAGGATCCGGGGGCTCGGGGTCTCGGGCCGGGGGGGGGCTCCTGGGGGACCATACCATATGGGGGGGGGGGTAGCAACACGGAACACGGGACCATATATACCCCGACGGTCGCACTTGCAGGCGGCGTTTCGCGCAGGTGAAATGCAAATCTTGTTTTTTTTGACCTTGAAGAAACGCCTTTCAACAACGCCTTTTGAGTTAGCTGAAGCAACTTGTAGCAAAGTGTTCCCTTGGGCATGTTTGCTACCATGTTGTGACGTGGGGTACATCAAATAGAGGGTTCCCTTGGGCGTGTTTGCTAGCATGTTGTGATGTGGGATACATCAAACGGAGGGTTCCCTTGGGCGTGTTTGCTACCATGTTGTGATGTGGGATACATCAAACGGAGGGTTCCCTGGGGCGTGTTTGCTACCATGTTGTGATGTGGGATACATCAATCGGAGGGTTCCCTGGGGCGTGTTTGCTACCATGTTGTGATGTGGTGTACATCAAACGGATGCAGTCAAACCGGGTTCCCTACGGCGTGCATGCCCAACATGGTTGGTCATGGATACAGCCAAATGAGGGTTCCCTATGGCGTGCATGCCTAACATGGTCATGGATACAGTCAAAAAAGGGTTCCCTGTGAGGAAGTGCAAAATGTCACGAACCGACCTCTTTTGCTGAAACTGCCTGCGGATTACGGTTACAGTGTGTTTCGTGAAAAAACTCCAACATTGTGCGACACGGACGCGCGCTTTTGAACATAGGTACTAGAACGAAGCAGACCTCAAAACATGGGCAGGCGTGGTGCTTTCGAACATACCACCAGGAAAACGGAGCCTGCAAACGCACCTGTTGAGGATATATATATTTTATATATATATATATATCTTTACATAATTCTCTTCACATTTAAACCTATAGAAAACATATCAACAAAAGCAACACAGAACGCACCGCCCCCATGACAAAAGCATGGTCCATTCTGGACCAAGCGTGGGGTCGGCGGATTTACTTTCCCCACAAGACCATGCCTTGGAACTGGTACAGGGAGTTGGTGCTTCTTTTGGGGAAGCGATTGAACCTCCCCTTTGACCAAGTGAAAGCTGGCAGCTTCCGAACTGGAAGCCTTTTGCGCAGGCGCAGGACGAAAAACGGCTGCGTAACGGCATGGAGCGGGCGCGGGCTAGCAAATCCGGCCACCGGACGTGATTGGGCCGCAGGCCTAGCCCGGAGGGCTTACCTTCAGGTGTAAGGCCGTCCGCCCCATGCCGCCGACCATGCTCAGACCATGTGCACACGTTGCGCGCTGGGCCCGCCCTTGCAAGGGGCGAAGGATTTGCGGATTGGCTTCGAGGATGTTTGTCGCATCTCCCCGCAGCGTCCAAAAACGAGTGTTTTTGGGGGGTACCTAATACTGGACAACACCCCCAGCGTTGCCAGCATCATCCCGGATGATGCGGTTGATGCTATGCGTGCTGGCGCTGAAAATTGCAGACAACGAAGGGGAAATGCAGGGAAGGAGACACTGGAAGTGAACGAAATGGAAGTGACAGGAATTGCACCAAAGTGAAGAGGGCACTGGCGAGAAACCAAAATGCAAGAGCAGAATGCGAAGGGAACCGGAGGACGGGAACGAAAAGAAATTGTTGGAAATTAAAGGAAACGAAGAGAAACTGAAGAGAGATGAAGGGATGTGCAGGAAACTGACGTGAAATGGGAAGCGAGGTTGAAGTCACGAGAACTAAAAGGAACTGAGGGAAAGGAATGCGAATGAAGGGGCGTTCAAGGAATGAAGGGGGCTGAGACGGAAATGAAGCGAAAGGAAGTGAAGGGAAATGCGAGGAAGCTGCCGGACATGCAGGGAAGACATGCACAGGAAGCGAAGTTCAAATCCCGGGAACTAACGGAAATTAAAGGAAAAGGAAATGAAAGAACGGGAAGCGGCGCAAGGTGCCCGGTGGCCGGCTGTGTCGCATCAGCGTGTAAATAAACCCACACAGGCAAGACTAACCGCAAAGTGTCACCCTTGTGTTTTTTTTGGGAGGTTTGCCCTGTTGCAACAAGCAAGGAGAGCGCAAAACCTTGCTTTCCAACAGCAGCGCGCGTGCTTATGAGTCTTTCTATGGAGTTCAAGATTTAGAAACAACCAGGGGTGCTCGGCCGGGGTCTGCAAAGGTCTGCTTTGGTTTGGGATCTTGGCTACCTTGTGACACAACATAACATGACGCCTGGGTGCCTTTGCCAGGGGGTGCCTTTGCCTAGGAGCGGAGTGCCCGGCGCCGAGGCTTGACGCAGGCCAGTAGAAAGATGGCCTGGCGTGAGAAGACAGCTCCAAAGTTTGCGGGCAATTGGCGGTTGATAGCCCCCATAGCTGGAAACCAACATGGAGCTATGGCCAGAGCGCTGGGTGGACGCAGCCGGCCCCCTTTTCCAGCTCATCGTCAAGTTCGCAGTTGCAATGGGAGATGTGTTGTCGTTCTCAAAATGCTTCTAAGACCCATTAAGGAATTCGACTAATTATAAGGTTCCAAGAATGTGTCCTTCGGTTTTTCCATGCACCTAGACCTATAAGCAGAAGGAGCCACCCAAGTATGTGCCAAGCTAGTCGCTTGCCGCTTGCGCCAAAGTTGGCCTCCGCAAGTTACACTTCTCAGCGGCCCTGGCCGTGGCTTTTACCCTTGGCCTTGGGTGTCTTTGATGGACCCAGCATTGGACCCTGAGGTGGATATGGTTAAGGGTGTCCATGAGACTCAGGAGTCCGAATCTTGGATTGCATCGGAAACACTCCATGTGTGTTTCGGGCTGCTGGTGGTGGCATTTTAAGGGCCGGGCGCATTTGCTGATCTTGACGCGCCTTCTTGAGTCTCATTTTGTGCTGGGTGTCTTTTGAACCGAAAGGTGCCAACCCTTTGTGTTTCGAGCGCAGGCAACGTCTCTGGGCCGGAGCCAAGCTTGGCGTTGTCTTTAGCCGGTGTTAGCCCTGCGAAATCTTTGGAGAGACCGAGAAGAGACCAACCATTTTAGTCCAGCCTGTTTTGTTGACCACACCCATGGTCTTTTCACCCAAACAAGTGGTAGACAAGCTTGGCCAGCCCCCTAAATACATTGTCAATGGGCCACTTCCCTCGGTTTTGGTTTGTGGAAGAATCGCGCTCCAATGATTGTCCGGACGCCAGCAGAAGGGCCCGTGCTTAGTTCCACACAGAGCTTCAACTGGCTTTCTTGTGGGAACGGTCCATTCCCTATCGCAAGGGATCCGGTTTTAGGTTGATACCAGTTGGCCCATTTTACATTACAGCTTCAATCCCCAAAATGTACAACAGCGCCCGCATAGGATCTTACTTCCCAAGTTTCGACCATCTTGATGTCAGTTTTGTGTAGCCACAGTCATTGAAAGTGAGGCAACGGTGCGTGAATTCTAGTTGCTCCGGCCCCCGGCCAGGTGATGGAGGAGTTGGAGCCCGACCTGCTGGCGCAGGCAGCGCTCTAGGAGCGGAATCGTCCGTCAAAGGTCCACCATTGTCTTAGGACAAAGCCGGCGCGCAACACCAACTGTCAAATGGACCTTGCGAACTAGCCCGGTCTATCTTTGAATGTCAGAATAGCTCCACTATGTCAGACATATCCACAAATTTTCTCTGTGTAGTTTCACTACGCTGAAGACACCTGTGTGCTGTTTCGGTCTGCAAACTTCTCGAGTCGCAGGTATTCTTCTGCGGGCGGCGGGTAGGGCCGACGAGCTGCCAGCTATCGAAACTCAACCCTCTGCGGGGATCAGGCAGCGTCCAGTAAGTGGCGGGCCCGCAAGATTGTCTCGTTCGCATGCCTCTTTGAGAAGACGCGTTGGAACGAATAGCATGTGTGTGAAGTGACCTCCAGATCCCAACCTGTACCAGCACCACACACAGACACTAGTTGAATGGGAGTGCCAAAATGGTTGAAACATCAAGGGGGAAGGCTGTAAAAATTGGACTGTTGTCCAAGCATCCAAGAAGGCAAGTTCGTGCCAATGCGCTCTGGGGAGGCCTCGACGGAAAGGAATGTCAAGTGCTTTAAAAGTGTGGGCTGGGTTAAAAATGGCACGGAGTCGAAGGCCTGTGACCAATGGCTGTCGCACATAGAGATCAACCAACCTTCCGCGGGCGCGGCGAAAGTCAAGTTGTTGCGCAGGCAGGAGGTGGCCTGCCGCAGGCGCAATCCCAGATTGGACGACTGACGCGTAGAGTTTATGGGCTTTATTGGCGAGCCACGCTTCAGCGGGTTAATGTGCCACGGAGGAGGGGCTCGGTCCGTCTTTTGCAAAGCTGTCTCCTTAGGAATCTGGAGCTGGGCCCTTGAACTGCTTGGACGTGAGCGCACCATATGTTGCGCGAGTTGGCAACACGATCCGTCTGGTAGCAAAAGACGCAAGCTCCTGCACGAATTTGGCGGTAGGGTTGAAAGTAGTCAGTGTTCTCATTTGAGGAAGCGCGTGCAATGATCTGCCAGGGTGTCCATGAGGTTGACTCTGACTTGATCCTGAAACTGACAAGCAAGAAACAACAAGTTGTCAGTTCATGAGAGCGCCAGACCCTGCTTTTGGCAGTCGTGGCAGCATAGAAAAATCCAGGGATAATATAGTTCCATGAAAGATTGGGCGATCATTTGCGCCAGGGAGAAACCGTTGCATAAGAGGACTTCGTCCCAAACTTGAGAGTTCCATTGCAATCAAAAAAGTGGCGCGCTGCGGGGTGGAAATGTCAGGCCCTGCGTCGGGCCCGTTCATGGAGCGCCTGCCCTGGGGTGGACGTGACCTACTTCAAGTACGGAACTCCATACAGGAAGCAAAGGAAATTGACACCAAACAAATGCGAGCTTGGTCGGTGTTGGTCGTGGGGCCAGAGCCGCAGACTGGTCCATAGACAAAAGAAGCCGGAACGAGCGCTTGATGTCTGGAGGCTGGAGTTGGCGCTGCTTGTAAACCTCTCTGCGGTTGTGGAGAGCAGAGGTGGTTGTGAGAGCGAAGGCTGGGCAACGGAGGCAGCGGTGAAGAAGCTGCGAGAGGAAACGCCGGAGCTGTGGCGAGAGACCATGATGCGCTTCAGGAACACGAAGCCGGCGTCGTCAACGGGCAGGGTGCGCTTGACAGTGGCGCGGCGCAGCTGGCCCAGGAGCAGGAGATGGAGTACCGTCCGATGACTTGTGGTGAACACATCAAGCACCGCATGGAAAAGCCATAGTTAATGTCTCCCTTGTTTCTTGTAGTCGTAGTTGCAGCCCAGAGCTTACAGGCGTACCTGGCAGTGGACAGCTGCTGTGTTGTATGCCTTTTTGTTTTTTTGGAGGCCTTTGGTGAGTGGTGGTGGTGTGGCTGGAGGGCTTGGCGGTGTAACTCTGGTGTTGCAAGACTCGGTGTAGGTGCCGCGCTGTGTGTCTGCTGTGCTCCAATCTTGGCAGGAGTTGTCGGATATCCTGAGGGGTGTGCCTCAAGTAATGTGGCAAGGCATGGAGCAAGGATTGGGTAAGGGAGTTGCTGGAAAAGAAGGTTCTCGATGTTGGAGATGCGTGCGAGGCTCTGGTGGTCCTGTCAATGACTGCTCGGGTAAGGCCATGTATGAGCTGCAAGGCGAATTTCATTCTTGCTGCGAAGGCACACACACACACGGTCTTCTCAAGTAAGGGTGGCGCAGCTTTATCCTTTGGGCAATCTGGCGTCCAGGACATAGGCCTGTTGGTCGGGGTCATCGTTACTGGGCCATACCTAGAATATTGGCCGGCTTGGCTGTGCTGCTCGCTGATCGGCTGCGAAAAGTCCACCAGAACAAATTGGAGGGAAACTCTTTCCTCAGCAGAGATGTCGTGCTCGATGGGGCTAGACTATGGAGAGGCCGAGTGTCAGGATGGAGCAAGGTCGACTTGGCGTTTCTAGGAGAGGAGTGATGAGGTCCATGTCAGTTGGGGTGTCCGTGAAGGATGTAAGAGGCGGTACGGTGGAAGAAGAGTCAGCCTGCTGTCTGAGAAATTGTTCCCTCCTCTGTTGTTGGTCACGGGCCATCTGTGCTGTAACGGGCTCCTCCTGGGATTGACGCCAGCGTCGAAGGGGCACAAGTACGGAGAGTCATAGCATTAACGCCACATGGAAAGGCACACCGTCAGCGGTTGTTTTTAGCGGGCCCTTTATGAATTTGGCCTCGGCTGGCAGGGGGTAAATGGGCGTGATTTGTTTGGGCGACCCCGTTGTGGTTGGTTTGAAGGGAGACGAAAAGGAAAGCCGTTGGAAAACACAATTTAAGATTTCACCCCCTCTGCATGTAGTATAAGACAAGAGCGGGTATGCTGCTTCCTCACGCGCTGGATGCCAGCTGAGCTCATGTCAACACTTTTTTGCAGACAAACCTCAACTGGACATGCCAAGCCGAATGCCCACTATTCAGACTCTCGGCCCATTGGTTCCCAGATCTTACGGTTTGCCGTTGGCACACCCTCAGGACATAACAGGAGTCCTTGAAGTTCAAACATCACGTTTCAGTGGCCGGTCTGGAGTCTTTTTCGGAGAGTGGTTATTGAAGTTTGAACGTGCGTGGAACGCTGCCTTCTGCACCTGCAACGGGAGCCTGATCAGTGCTTCCAGGTAAGCCGCCGCAGCAGGTAAAACGATACCGGAAAACGATACCATGCCTCAAGAGAAACGTTGGAATCTCCAATCGGTTGCCATGGCTTGCCTAAGAAAAGTTAAAGACACACGTAACATACCGTCTTTTTTGTGGGTGACGCCTTTTAAGTGGGGCCTTTTGTCCCTCGAGGCCCAGCGCCTTGCCTCGGCGCTGGCAATTTTCGACGTCCACGACGCCGAGGATCGCTGGGAAGTTCTTGCGGGTGCTCTAAAAAGGGGTGGCAAAAACGGGAGGAGCAAGTGGAACCTACTTTGGCACCTGACCTCAGGAACACAGTTCAAGTTTCCTACCTTTGAACTCGCCCACTATGTGCTGTATTTGGCCTACTGCTTGTAGGAAACTTCTCGTGGGGAACCCCCTCAAAACGGTTGGCGGACACAACGCCCTATGCGAAACTGGGCAAAGCAAATCGCGACTGCGCAAAGGTTTGGTTGGCAACCGGTTTTACCCTTCACGAAAACTCACCGGGTGCCGTATTTTTCCAGGTTGCTGACTTCTACTTTACCCTGTGTTTTTGGGAACCGGTTCCTTTGGATTCAGGCAAGTCAAATCAAATCTGTTCAACTCTTGTGGAAGAACCGCAAGCGAAAGTAAGGTGTTCCTAGTCAACAACATGTTTGTGAGTTTGTTTGGCGAAAAGGTCTTTGCGCTGGGCGTGCGAGAGTCAACCAGGAAAAGCGGTTTTGTGTTGCAGCCTTTTTCCTGGGGTGTCCTTTCACACTGAACCAGCAAGAACTAGGTTGACCTGCTTTGTTCAAACTAGTGGGCTGTTGGTCAACCAACAGTTTTGCCATTCTTCAGGGAGGGAATTTTTGTTTGATGCCAGAACTCGCACATTGTGCTGGGACTTTTGCAGGCAGCCCCGCACAAGTCAGAGAGCGCTTCGATAAACATAAACGGCCTAGGAAGGGGAACTACTCTCTGATGAGTTGGTTCCAACCCAGATTTGTTTGGGGAAGAAAGCTCAACACAGTCCCTCATGTTTGTTTGATATTTTCTGGCTGGGCTGCATTTTGTGCTTTTATGGACTCGCTTCCCCAACGCGGGTCAAAGGTCTGCAAATTTGGGTGAACACAAGTGTTCGTGTCGAAGGCAAGAATTTTATTTTGAAACGCATATTCTGTTTTAGCATAAATGTGAAATTATCCTGGGTGCTACATACCACCTGCTGCTTGGTTGCCACCTAAAGAAAACCAACGGGGGATGGAGTTTCGCCCAGGCCCCTTATTACATTTTGTGTTTTGCTTCATTCATTGAAAATGCCATCGTTTTGGGCCAGGTGAGAGACCTGCTGGCGCAGTGGCTGCTGAGGCCGCTGCCGCCTGAGACGCTGACAAGGCACGAAATTGAAGTGTGTGCGGAAACCCCTCGAATGAAGGCAAATCACGGGTGTATCCGTGATGGTGTGGAGGGCGACCCGATTTATTGGGACTTGGCAACCTATGCTAGCCAGCCATATTGACCTGTGCAATCTGCCGTGTATGTCACCTGCAGTCGCTTGTTGGTTTTGTGTGTCGGGCGCGTGTGTGTTGCTCCTTCCATGGTGGGGTGCTGTGTTTGCAGTTTTCTTCCACACCCATCACCGATGTCCGGTGTGCGTGCTCTGAACCGTAGTTGTGTTTCTTGTCGCCCATGAAGGTATGCGTGCGTCTTCCAACCTGGGATGGCTTGCCCGATCTTGATCGCAGTCGTTACCAAAAGCGCGGACCCCGATGTTTGACCTATTTGAGTCTCATGCTGTGTTGCCTTCATTCCGCGGGTCGGGGCCCAATAAGTGTCGAGCCCATACTGCGCGACTCACAAAGGGCTGTGGACCCGCAAAAGTCTTGGCGGTTTGAGGGTGGAAACCATTCTGGTTCGCGGACGGCGGTTTGTGCAAATAGAATCCATGCAGAACTGACCTGGTTTCCTTTTACGTCACGCGCGCAGCAGAGGCAGAAAGAAACTACAATAAAGAAGCCCCAATCATCCGCTCCACGGCTCAGAGTCCAACAACCACATGGTCCTGGGCAAGAGTGCGTCACACCACAGCACGGAGGCTCACCTATACAACAGTTACATATATTTCGTATCAGGGGCGCATACCAAGGTGCATAACTATAACCTTGCCGGGAAGATACCACGGGGTACTTACCTAGCGGCCCTAGGCCCTAAACCAAAGGCTAGAGACCTGTAGCTACCTTCCCTGCTGTTGTGTCGTCAGCAAGATTGCTGGCTGCTTTCTAACCTTCGTTTAGCTTGTTGGTTGAAACTGAGTGACTTCAAGCTGCCATTCCGCAAAATGTTGAGAACAATTCGGGCGCAAGAGGCAAGATGTTGTGTGATGAACAAGTGAACATGAAACAATGCCTCAAGGCATTGCTGCAGGCTCCTTTCAACGGAGGTTCCCCATTTTGTGTTCCGTTTAGAGTTTATCCTTCCATTATTTGCCAAGACTGTGAGAGCAGAGAGAGGGAGGGCGGGAGGAAGGGAGGGAGGGAGGGAGCGAGGGAGGGAGGGAGGGAGGCAGAGGCAGAGGCAGAGAGAGAGCGCGTGAGTGATGGGTGAGTGGGTGAGCGAGCGCAGTCGTATGGTGTTACCCAGAACTTCCTTAGGTTGTCCAAAAGCTTTTGGGATAGGTTCTCCTGCCAAACCCGTCCTCCATGAAGATCAGGATGGCGTTGGACTTGGCGTCCGTCGGCCTGAGCGACCAGGCGAAGATCTGGGTTGCTAACATGGACCCTCTTCAAAAAAAGAAGGAACACACGGCTTTTAGTTCGCGCCACGTACATAGTCACCCGCACGTTTTCGTGCATGTCCTCGGACATGCGTCTACCCTCAGGCAGTTTGACAAGAATGCATGTTTCTGGAGTTGTAAACCTTCCCGGTAACTAACTCACGCTAGCTGAATCTCAGGTCGACATGTGCAGGTTTGGACCAAGTCACCACACATGGCACTTATGCCAGCACGCGTGCAGCTCTGACGTGATTCGCCTCATCGGGGGTGCTGATCACGCGCCAGCGTGTGTGGTGCGCGTGGGCGGGGGTGCTTATCACGTGCCAGCGTGCGTGCAGCTCTGATGTGACGCGCGCGCGCGAGGTGTCTCATCGTGCGCCGCGCGCTCTGATGTTGTGCGAGTGAGCAGGTGCAACTCGCGCGCATCTCTGACGAGAAGAAAGTGAGCGGCTGTGCTTAGCATGTGCCAGCGCGCGCGCAGCTCCGTGCGTGAGCCGGTGTGCGTATCATGTGTTAGAGCGCGTGCAGCTCTGACGTGATGTGCGTGACAGGGAGTGCTTATCATGCCCAAGCATGCAACTGACAAGCGCGCCCAGCTCACGCGCATCAGGTCAAAGCTGCACGCTCGTTGACACCTGATAAGCGCACCCGCTCACGCGCATCGCGTCAGAACGTCAGAGCTGCGCTAGTTGACGCATGATAAGCGCACCCTCTCACGCGTGTCACGTCAGAGCTGCGCGCGTGCTGGGACCCAACGAGCGTGCAGCTCTGATGTGACGCGCGTGACAGGGTGTGCTTATCATGCGCCAGCGTGCGTGCAGGTGGGCTTCGGGAAGATTTGGGTAGATGAGCGGTAGGTTGTCACTGCCAGTCCATGATTGATTTTGAGGTGTCAAGATTTTCAGGTACCGAGGTTTTTAAGTTTGAAAGGTGTTAAGATTTCAAGTCAGGCCATTTTCAATCCATTTTCCGTCCGCTCTAAGAATTTTAAACTTCAATATTTTCAGATTCGAAGATATTCGGAGCTACAGATTTTAAAATCGTAAGATTTCAACATATCAATATTGCAAGAATGTAAGAGTTTTAAGATACTCAGATTCCAAGGATTTAAGGCTTAAGTTTGTAAAGTTCTAAGATTTTACCACTTTAAGATTTGACCATGTGAGGAAAACATAAGATTTCAAGATTTTAAGGTTTTACGAGTTTTTCCAGCTACTTTGCTATGTTCTACCTATGTTCCACCATCCATGCCCCATCCATCAATTGTCCAAGATTTTTCCACGACAGTTCCACACACGTGAAGCAAATTTTGCATGCTTTGGCAATCCGTTTGCCATCCTTCGTTCATTCCACCTGTTCAATCCAATTGCCATACATTTCCCATGACTTTTGCGCCCAGTTTCCACACGTGTTCCGTCAATTTTGCATCCTTTTTTTTCTCCGTTTTGCATCTCCCATCAATTTTCCATCATTTTCCAGCATTCCCCGCATCACCTGCATCATTTGCATCATCTGCATCAATGTCTGCCAAGGATGTGGATGATGCAGGTGATGCCGGGGATGTTGTCCACTATGGGCACCCCCCAAAGAATGCTCGTTTTTTGGACTCAACGGGGAAATCATCAGTCGCCTGAGCGAATCCGCAAATCCTTTGCCCCTTAGCAGAATTGGCGCAGCACAGAAAGTCTACGCGTGGTCGGCTCATGGCAGGGCGCCGCCCTTTCGGCCGTATTACGGCTCCGGGGATGGAAGTTTCGGTGGCCGGATTGCACGCTAAGCGATGCAGCCGGCCAGGCCCGTTTGGCTTTGAGATGTTAAGACTTCAAGTCAGGCCATGTTCAATCCATTTTCCGTCCACTCTAAGGTTTTGAAAACTTTAATATTTTCAGATTCGAAGATATTTGGAGCTACAGATTTTAAAAAATCGTAAGATTTCAACATTTCAATATTGCAAGAGTGTAAGAGTTTTAAGATACTCAGATTCCAAGGATTTAAGGTTTTAAGTTTGTAAAGTTCTAAGATTTTACCATTTTTAGATTTGACCATTTGAGGAAAACTTAAGAATTTAAGGTTTTACGAGTTTTTACAGCTATTTTGCTATGTTCCACCTATGTTTCCATAAATTTTCCATCCATGCCCCTCCACCCATTTTCCATGCGCGATACATCAATTTTCCATCAGTCTGCCATCCACGTCGCCATCAATTGTCCAAGATTTTCCATGACAGTTCCACATACACAGGCAGCAATTTTTGCATCCTTTGGCAATCCGTTTGCCATCCTTTGTCCATTCTATGCAATCCAATTGCCATACATTTCCCATGACTTTTGCGCCCAGTTTCCACACGTGTTCCGTCAATTTTGCATCCTTTTTTTTCTCCGTTTTGCATCTCCCATCAATTTTCCATCATTTTCCAGCATTCCCCGCATCACCTGCATCATTTGCATCATCTGCATCAATGTCTGCCAAGGATGTGGATGATGCAGGTGATGCCGGGGATGTTGTCCACTATGGGCACCCCCCAAAGAATGCTCGTTTTTTTGACTCAACCGGGAAATCATCAGTCGCCTGAGCGAATCCGCAAATCCTTTGCCCCTTAGCAGAATTGGCGCAGCACAGAAAGTCTACGCGTGGTCGGCTCATGGCAGGGCGCCGCCCTTTCGGCCGTATTACGGCTCCGGGGATGGAAGTTTCGGTGGCCGGATTGCACGCTAAGCGATGCAGCCGGCCAGGCCCGTTTGGCTTTGAGATGTTAAGATTTCAAGTCAGGCCATGTTCAATCCATTTTCCGTCCACTCTAAGGTTTTGAAAACTTTAATGTTTTCAGATTCGAAGATATTTGGAGCTACAGATTTTAAAAAATCGTAAGATTTTTCAATATTGCAAGAGTGTAAGAGTTTTAAGATACTCAGATTCCAAGGATTTAAGGTTTTAAGTTTGTAAAGTTCTAAGATTTTACCATTTTTAGATTTGACCATTTGAGGAAAACTTAAGAATTTAAGGTTTTACGAGTTTTTACAGCTATTTTGCTATGTTCCACCTATGTTTCCATGAATTTTCCATCCATGCCTCATCCGTTTTTGATCCGTTCTCCACGCATTTTTCCATGCGCGATACATCAATTTTCCATCAGTCTGCCATCCACGTCTCCATCAATTGTCCATCCATGACAGTTCCACACACACGTGCAGCAATTTTTGCACCCTTTGCCAATCCGTTTGCCATCCTTTGTCCATTCTATGCAATCCAATTGCCATACATTTCCCATGACTTTTGCGCCCAGTTTCCACACGTGTTCCGTCAATTTTGCATCTTTTTTTTTCTCCGTTTTGCATCTCCCACAATTTTCCATCATTTTCCAGCATTCCCCGCATCACCTGCATCATTTGCATCATCTGCATCAATGTCTGCCAAGGATGTGGATGATGCAGGTGATGCCGGGGATGTTGTCCACTACGGGCACCCCCCAAAGAATGCTCGTTTTTTTGACTCAACGGGGAAATCATCAGTCGCCTGAGCGAATCCGCAAATCCTTTGCCCCTTAGCAGAATTGGCGCAGCACAGAAAGTCTACGCGTGGTCGGCTCATGGCAGGGCGCCGCCCTTTCGGCCGTATTACGGCTCCGGGGATGGAAGTTTCGGTGGCCGGATTGCACGCTAAGCGATGCAGCCGGCCAGGCCCGTTTGGCTTTGAGATGTTAAGATTTCAAGTCAGGCCATGTTCAATCCATTTTCCGTCCACTCTAAGGTTTTGAAAACTTTAATATTTTCAGATTCGAAGATATTTGGAGCTACAGATTTTAAAAAATCGTAAGATTTCAACATTTCAATATTGCAAGAGTGTAAGAGTTTTGAGATACTCAGATTCCAAGGATTTAAGGTTTTAAGTTTGTAAAGTTCTAAGATTTTACCATTTTTAGATTTGACCATTTGAGGAAAACTTAAGAGTTTAAGGTTTTACGAGTTTTTACAGCTATTTTGCTATGTTCCACCTATGTTTCCATAAATTTTCCATCCATGCCCCTCCACCCATTTTCCATGCGCGATACATCAATTTTCCATCAGTCTGCCATCCACGTCGCCATCAATTGTCCAAGATTTTTCCACGACAGTTCCACACACGTGAAGCAAATTTTGCATGCTTTGGCAATCCGTTTGCCATCCTTCGTTCATTCCACCTGTTCAATCCAATTGCCATACATTTCCCATGACTTTTGCGCCCAGTTTCCACACGTGTTCCGTCAATTTTGCATCCTTTTTTTTCTCCGTTTTGCATCTCCCATCAATTTTCCATCATTTTCCAGCATTCCCCGCATCACCTGCATCATTTGCATCATCTGCATCAATGTCTGCCAAGGATGTGGATGATGCAGGTGATGCCGGGGATGTTGTCCACTATGGGCACCCCCCAAAGAATGCTCGTTTTTTTGACTCAACGGGGAAATCATCAGTCGCCTGAGCGAATCCGCAAATCCTTTGCCCCTTAGCAGAATTGGCGCAGCACAGAAAGTCTACGCGTGGTCGGCTCATGGCAGGGCGCCGCCCTTTCGGCCGTATTACGGCTCCGGGGATGGAAGTTTCGGTGGCCGGATTGCACGCTAAGCGATGCAGCCGGCCAGGCCCGTTTGGCTTTGAGATGTTAAGATTTCAAGTCAGGCCATGTTCAATCCATTTTCCGTCCACTCTAAGGTTTTGAAAACTTTTATATTTTCAGATTCGAAGATATTTGGAGCTACAGATTTTAAAAAATCGTAAGATTTTTCAATATTGCAAGAGTGTAAGAGTCTTAAGATACTCAGATTCCAAGGATTTAAGGTTTTAAGTTTGTAAAGTTCTAAGATTTTACCATTTTTAGATTTGACCATTTGAGGAAACGGCTCTGGCACGCACTGCCTGAGCTTTGCCAGATCTCCTTTACCTGGCAACATGGCGCTATCTCCAAGCGCCGCATGCCTTTCGCGGTGAGCATGACCATGGT